AATCGATCAGCTTCCATATTTTTTGCTCTTTTGACAAAACCAAAAGAGACAGTTTGTAAATCTCTAGAAAAAATTTTCAGATCTTGCAATATTCCATAGATCTCTAGGTTTTGATTGTTGTTGTTGATCAAATTGATGAGGGTTTGTGAGTCTGAGAAGAGCCTGAAACTCTTAAGATTTTATCTTGTCGCGTGGAGGAGGGCTTCTCTCATAGCCACAGCCTCAGCCATTAGAGGCGATTTGATGTGGTTCATAGCTCGGGCTCCTTTGTGTACGATCTGATCGTTGTGGTCACAAAAAATCCAGTCGGCGTCTGCGATGGAGGAGTATGTTGTCCATGACGCATCTGTGTAGCAGTGGAGAAGCTTTTCTGTCTGTTCGCCTGCTTCGTTTGGTTCGATGTGGTTCTCCTTTGGATCGATTGTTTGGGCTAATAGCCATTCCCTCGCATCCTGGAAGACTTTATTGTTTGTATCTTCAGGTGTGAGGCTTCCATTTGTGAAGACTTTCTGGTTTCGTGCCAGCCACAGATTCCAATAAATCCAGGGGGAGATTGGTCCCGATGCGATCCCGGTGGGTGGTAAACAGATGACTTTCTTCGATTCCATTATTCCACGTGCTATATCAGGCCAAGTCTGAGGATCAATTAGCGTTTTCAGAGGAGCTAACTTCCAGACCTCTCGGGCGAAGTTGCAATGGTGGAACAAATGTGTTGTTGTCTCTGGTTCTCCGCATCTTATGCAGCGGGATTGGTCTAAGATTCCTCTTGTAGCTAGTTGAGCGTCCACCGGTAAGGCTCCATTCAAAGTTTTCCACAAGAAAGTTTTGAGCTTTGGTGGGGCATTGATCGCCCATATCTCTTTGTGCCAGTTGAATTCAGGGATTGGGTTTATGTTTTGTGTGGCAGGGTCCTCTCTCGCGCTTTGGTAGCCTGATTTTGCTTGGTAGATTCCTGAGGAGTGACCGATCCATACAAACCTGTCCTCTGCTCCTAATATGCTAGGTTTCAAAGCCAGGATGTTGTTTTCCCATTCAGGTATTAAGTTTCTGATCTTCTCCAAGTTCCATTCCTTAGAACCCGATATGATCAGCTCTGACACTTTCATTGTTTCTTGTTCTCTTGTAGGCGGGCCATACGGTTGGAGAGGTTCTGAG